ACGTTATGCGCATAAAGATCAAACATTGAAGCTCAGGTTGGGTGGCTACCCCGTGAAAAACGGTACGTTTTCAGATCGACCTGGTATTATCCGATGGCATAAAATTTTTGAAGAAAGCTTCAGTTGGAAATTCAAAGATTTTGTGCAAGTAATTCCCATGTGAGTGCAAACAGTGCGCCTTGATTTTTTTTGGTTTAGAGTTTAGTAAAATGTTAATGAATCTTAGTCGTCAAAATGTTATGTAATGATGCAAAACCAAGGAGTCCAATGAATTTCTTTGTCTGAAAAGCGATACTCTACTCATGGCAAGCTAAAAAACGAAATTTGAAAATACCATTCTCACCATACGCTGGTAATCTCTTGACTCGTCAATGGCTGCTAGATTGGTTGTGAAGCTGCATGCAAACACTGCAGACTTCAAATTCACTGCTTGAATGTCGATTGGCAGAACCAGCCGTGAAAATGACAAGGATAGTATTATCATCATGAAGTAGGAGGGAAGGATGCGCTTTATTCGGCGATAATAAAATGAAGTAAATTCCAAACAGCCAAAGTTTTCTTGGCGTTCAGCGATCATGGACATGAGGAATCCAGACAGCACGAAAAACCTCAATGATTGAATCATTGGTATTGATTCTTTTTGAATCATAGTGATAGGTGATTGAAACGTTTGAAAGGTAAGTGCATCTTTAATGCAGAAGTTATTAGAGTGCCCATTGACAGTGGAAAACGAAACATTTAAACTTTTTTTTGTCTTTGGAAACTTACTCATCCACTCCAACGTGACCATTCGGCAAATACTTCGGAAAGAAATGAAACAGTAATACGCCAATGATGGCAATAGCGCGTATGCCTTGTAAATCCTTGCGTCTCTCTTGTTTCCTTGAAAAATATTATTTTGCACATGTCTATATCAAATGGGTTTGAACAAACCTGGAGGCATTCGTAGCAGCTGGGTAATGGAGTAATTTGTGACCAACGATAGGGTCACATTCAGTGCAAACGTCA